CTTCCACACAGTCTTCAAATCTTGAAGGTTTCGTGGACCTCTTCTATCTATTATTACAAACAACTTCATTTCTGGACATTTATGGTTTGATTTCTTTGTATGTATGGATCACTTGGGTTGTTACCGACATCTGGTGAAAATTTCATGTCATTAGCACCTCTAGTAATAAATTTACTGAGAAAAATGTTGACGTGTTCAATACTTATTTTACCCACTGTAAATGTGGAAAAACTTGTCAAAGAGCCAGTCCAGTTTCTCCTTTCAGTCTTCTGTGCAAACCTGCTGGTGTGATCATTTTTTACATCTCTGTAAAATAAGTACAGAATATTTGTTGTGCAAATGTAAACAGTTCTTTTTAAAAATTCATATCAGGTTTGTTTGATGCGCTGAGGTTCACCGTCATTGTCTTCCTGCCCGCCACAGGCAAGTGCTCAAAACATGAAAACCGGAGGAGGCGGACTCCCTCGCACCAACCCCCCCACACAGAAGCCCCCCAGCCCGCCCATGTCAGGGAAAGGGACCCTTGGGTATGTAAGCTGCAGTGGTGCTTTGAGCTGTGAGCGCAGAGACGAGGGGTTTTTATTTTTATTTTTTGGCTTGGCTTCAAAGTTTCCCCTTCCTCTCTTTACTCTTTGTTTGCTGAAGTCCAGTGAAGATCTTCAGCTCTTCCAGTTTTTGATTATTTAAAATAGATGTTCAAGTGGTTTCAAACTGGGGTCATTTTAAAAGTGTTAGCTTCACTTTAAGGTGGTTTTCTTTGGCGACCATCATCTAGGGCAGGAGTGGGCAATCCTGGTCCTTGACAGCTACTATTCTGCATGTTTTACCTGTGCCTGTTCTCCAGCACACCTGATTTCAGTGAGTGAGTGATTACCAAGTGTCTGCAGAACTTGAAGAGGTAAAACACAGGTGTGTTGGAGCAAGGGAACAAGTGAAACATGGGATAGTGGCCCTCCAGGACCAGGATTGCCCACCCCTAATCTAGTGTGATATTATCAGCCTGTTTCAGCCAGTCATTATTAATTGATCAGCACTTGTTAATATAATATTAATATATGTTGTGGAGGTGAAATGAAGACAACACACATTTCTGAATTTAATAAAAAAAAGACTAACAAGATGTTTTCCATCTATATAGGTCTCCTATAAATAAATGATTTTAGACATGCTTATTTGTTGTTTTTGATTTCTCTTACTCCTGTTATTGAAGATTTTCATGAAATAGTCATAAATTTATGTCCAGACTTCAAAGATCTGTAAAACATTGAAACATTATTTTGTTTGAGATGTTTAGATTATAAGAATAACCCAAATCAAAACCTCAAGAGTCTAAAACTACTCAAATGTCTGTTAAACTTCAACTACAATTTAGAAACAGATGAGTTGTATAACGTGTAAAGGAAAACTTAATACAATGATTTGCATATCCCATAAACACATTTAATTAAAAATGGAACGCATTAAACACATCAAATGTTAATAATGAATTGTACAAATCTTATGGGGAAAATAATAAGGTACCAATTATTGGAGTTTTTGAAGGGGAATGTGTCCCATTCTTGTCTGATGTAAGATTCTAACAGTTCAACAGTCCTGTTTTGTTATTATTATTATTATTATTATTATTATTATTATTATTATTATTTAAACAGGTAATTTCCACTGAGATCACAGATCTCCTGAAAGCAACTTGACACATATTATTTTTGTGTGTGTTTAATGAAACTTTCTGAAAGTAATCACTAGATGCACATCTGCAACTCGGTTCAAGATGACCACTGCAACTAATCTTTAACAAACACAAAATGTCAGCTGCAGAGCAGTGTTAAGGCAGCCGACTAAAGACCAAAAATTCAAGGGATCAACTCCCCATCATGCCCCCAGGTCCTGGTCAGTGGTGGGATGTAACAAAGTACAAGTACTTTGTTGCTGTATTAAAGTACACTTTTCATGTATCTGTACTTTACTTAAGTAGATTTCATCATGGGTACTTTTGACTGTCTACTCTACTACATTTCTGTAATGTGTTGAATTACAAATTACATTCATGTCACGTTGCAATACG